GCCGGTGGATTTACGGTAAACAATGCGCGCATCCGGGATTTCGGAGTGTTGTAGTCGGCCTACCGTATCAGACCCATATCGCACACATCGCCCACCCACCTAGAATCCATCTAGGAAACGCGCGCATTCGGAACACTCGATTCAGCCTCTCCCGCATCGCACACATATGAGACTCGGCGCCGCTTAAAAGAACGGTCGCGTTCTCGCTTGTACAGTAACAGGGAGTTATGGTCTGCCCATTGTTATTTTCCGATTGTACTGTGTCATATATCAGAAAACTAGAATTTTGAAAATTTTCATGTCCGGCCTCCTTTAAGGTGATGCCAGAAAGGGGAAATTTTCGATGTCGGGAGTCGTAAGTCGAAAGTCGGAATCACTGAACCCATATATGGCATCAGTTGGCACCGCAGCATGCGCTATCGTAGCTCATCTGGTAGCAACGCGGTACCTCCATCGGTGGACCCACAAGTTCGACTCCTCGAGGGGCTCACATAAATGAAATTTAGAGGGAAATGTGTTGCGGAAGGAATGGCCCTGCCATTTCTTCCTCAACTTTAAGTAAATATACATTCGGTATTATTCAACGTGTAAACCACATCGGTGGCCTAATCATCTTATCTTATCTACGATTTGATCAATCGTCGCTATATAAACTGAAGAAACCAACGACAAGATGACTTCATTCGATCCATTCCGACTCTACGAAGAACGACTAAACGGCAGCTCGACCACCGAGGGACAATGATGGATACGAATGGGGACCACGAGCACAACTCGGAGGAAGGCCAAACTCTATACGGGAGTCAGCCGAACTCTTTATTCTTTAATAAATTAGTTGAAAATTAAACGGCTCACGCCCTCCCACAGAACAATTCCGAACTGCAAATTAATTTTTGATCTACAGAAAAAAAGTTTGGCGCGATCACAATTGCAGGTCTAAAACCATAATTTCAGTATTTTTTATTTGATTTTGTGGAGTTCCAAGATGATTCAAATGATTCTCAAAAAATTAATTAGTGGTTCATGTATGGTCCTTTTCCGGAAGAAATAATGTCAAAAATTGTCATTTTTGAAAGTTTTTTACAGAAAAAATCTATCTCCTTTTTCAGTTTTTGAGATTCCTAGGAG